TATATATATATATATATATATATATGCAGTCTCAATATCACATTCTCTCTCCTTCGGGTGTGAGTGCGTGTGTGTGTGCGCCTATTAAAAGAAAAATAGCAAAATGTGAAAAACACAGCACGGAAGTTTGCGGATATGTCAAAATAGGTGACACAAAATCGATTAAGCTTTACTATAACCTGTCAAAACAAACTATCGGATACTTTTTCAACACATCTCTGGACAGCCATGCCGGCGTTGACACTGTTAGGGATGTTTGAACTCGATATAATACACTTCGTAAAAAATCTGTGTGCTCTGCCACTGCTCTCACATGTTAAATGGTCGCATTTATGGTGTATATTGTATAAGTATATATATATTGTATATTTGTATAAAGTAAATAGCAGTGAGATAGCTAGGACTGTGGTGGATATAGAGAGTTAGTGTTTCAGATTATTATAATTCACTTAGTTCTCGTAGAAACCCTGATTTCTTATAAAAAAAATCATTTTATTTAAAAAATAAATAAATATAATAATGGAATTCATGAGTGCGCGTAATATAATTGAGTGAGCTACGCAACTGCACTTCGATCGCTGTCCCGTGTGTTATTTCGCTCAGTTCTGCCAGTCATATAATAGCGAGCGCAGTGAGCAGGGTCTAAGCAAGTTGACGTAAATAGATTAGATTTGCAATTAATAATTGTGAGCGATTGTTATTATAACGCGACGAAATCCATATCCGGATTTACATATACATAGTTGCGTATGCCGTAACACAATTTGTTGGTGAATAATTGATTGCAGTATGAAATCGCAATCGGATGTATCGGTAGGGTAAACGGGTGCATTATCGCTTTCCACCACGAGTGGCTTTTTGTCATGACGTTATTTATATCTCTATTAAAGCATAAGTGAGTGAGCGTAAGCGTAAGTGAGCATTAAAGTAACATGCACCTGCTGCCTTTTAATCAAAGCAAATGTTTGTCAGAGCTGAATACGCAAATATAAAATAATATCTGTTCAATAAATATATTCATTTAACAAAAACCTCTAAATTGTTTCATTCTCCTGACAACCTCGAGCACATTACACTGCAATATGAATACGTAAAATAGTATAACACACACACGCACGCACGCACGCACGCACGCACGCACGCACGAACACACACACACACACACACACACACACACACACACACACACACACACACACACACGCATATATATATATATATATATGCGTGAGTGTGTATTTTTTATTATTATCATTAACTAGTATTTAGTATTTTAATTGCCAATTACTGTCCTCATATCTAAGGTCCTTTAATATACAGCAGCGTGCAGGCAGGCAGGCAGGCGACAATTTTCGCCATGGTGTACTAACTCGATGGTCGCGCGAGTAATTCCAACAATGAGCGTGGGTAGTTGCTCAAGCGCTCCCGCCTCTGCCCGTATTTTTGACAACCGCGAGTAGATATATATTACAGAAAGCTCGAATAGCGCGAGAGCGCGCGCTTCGCTAACTAGCAAGTAACCGACAGCAAAGAGCTGCATTCGTGCGCTGTATCAGCGTGGGTGCGGGGCAAACGAGGGGACTCTCTCTCTAGGCGGGCATCATGCACACTTATCACTTCGGCTGCCGCCACGTAGGCCTACGCTTTTACGTCTGTGCGTCGTCTCTATACGTTACGCACGCGCGCACGCGCACGCACACGCACACGCGCGCGCACACGCACACGCTGTCAGAGCTAGGAGTGCCCTAATTGCGTTTGTCTCTGGAACAGCGAACAAAATGGCGGCAATCTACCGACGGCTGTGCACACTAGATCTCGTACCGTGTATACACGCGTCGCCATGTAATTGCCGCAGTGTGCGAAATAACCGTGAAGCTGTTTAGTGCAGATAGGATCTGGACCTTAACAATTACCGAGTAATGACAATTTCTTAATTGCTGTGCACGCGCGCGGGATAGCGTCACAAATACACGATGTACGTTTGTGCGAATACGTGAGTCCTCGCCCACGTCGGTAGCAGTCTGATAGAACATTAGCTCGGCTGTTTATATAGTGGCTACATAGGAGTTACGTTGATTCCCACTGAATTGCGAATGACTACGAGCACGCAGTTCTCGATTTGACTGCACACGAATAGATTACTCAACCAGAGATATTGAAGGGGCCTCCAGTATCAGTGGGATGGCGTTTCATTGTAGAGGATACTAACTACATTGATCTCTAATGCCCTACTCTAGCATCCGGTCTCGCTTGTGTTGCCTATAAATCGTAGTAATTACGATGCACGTAGACTAATAATTGCAATGTCGTTAGGACCCCTTTTACGTAGGTCATGAATGCTTTGTAATAATGAAGTATATATAGTTACGAAACCCTCGATTCGATTTCATGTATTAATGATGCCACCCCACTCCTCCACTCCTTCTTTTCTCATTCCGATTTTGGGGACTCGCTTATATCCTTCGTTATATTACTGATTATAGATAATATTCTAAATTTTGAATTTTTTTTGATGGAATATAGAATACCATATAAATAACGAGAAATACGAGATACCCTAGCTCGCATGTAATTCTAAGCGCGTACCTTCAATCAATTTAAGTAAAATGCTTCGTTAGTGTTTTCTCACTAGGCACAAACTATATTTAAAAAAATATTATATAAAATACATTTAATTAAAGAATCATGCCCATGCAATCGAGGCGTGGACCTATCTCATGGATCGTGTTGGCGATAATATCAAGAGCCCATTAACCCCTTAAGGGTTAATGGGCTCTTGGTAATATGGATACGCTATTAAAATGGATACTTACAATACTCATCGTATAATATCACTGTAATTACGCTTATAATAATCTCATAATAATACGTAATCATAATTTCGATTATGAAGCCACGTATGTAATGCGGTGTGTCTTTAAATTTGATTTATTTTCATTGTATTTGATAATTGTCGGCAGACAACCCACCAAACAACAACAACAACCTAGCCGGCTGTCCGCTATATATGCTGTGCTCGGCTGAGGAAGAATGAACCCGGCCTGGAGTCTGGCTCTTGGTTGCTTCAATTGATATAAGCCTACCATTACACGAATCACATTCGTGGAACACAATAAAACTATACTAATTTTAGTTATACACTCTCAACATGCAGCCTACGCATACGGCGCGACGTTGTCTAGAATGGAAATCACATAGAATCGTTATCACGCTGTCGCACGCTGAACAGTGTTTGCGTTCAAGCGTTATAGAGCATGCGTGCACGTTTACTGCAAAACAAGTATTTTCGACTTAATGTGTTTTATCTAACTCAAACTAATCCGGCATAGTCATGTGGGTAGAAAAGCTGGACAATCATGACGATGCAGACACGACTAGTAAATTGCTAGGTTATATCCTAGCGCCTAGAATATAGAGATTAACTGTAATTATTTTAAGGTTTCCAACGTTTTAAAGCTATGATTTATAACCTTTTAGAAGTTCCTCGCTTGAGGGTAGTGGCATGATGAATACGCATTGATTACCAATAAACATTGTGCTTTTCTTGTGGGAATATATTTCCATGTGGCAAATCCCATGCAAAATTATGCGAGTATATTTCAATCGACTTCCTGTTCATCTATGTGCAAACATACTTGTAGCATATTTTGTTTGGCGAAGTAATACCCAGCAATGTCTAGACATTTCAATCATCGGGGTATATACACGGATTTAGGGACGATTGTCTCCATCCTGAACCGAGACGGTAGTAATAGCAAGCTAAATGAGGATCACGGAAGACCGACGAGTATCTAGTCTGTACGGTATGCATGCCTTCGATGCAAGTCAAGCATGATAGCAAGCATCCCTGTGATTATAGCACCATTATCGCACGACAGGCGCGCCGTACAAACAGTCGGCTGAACTGCAGTGGAGTTTTTTTTATTCCGAAACCAATTCTAATGCTGTTTCGCCGAATATCACCCTGATGCGTGAGAATTTGTGCATTTGCGCTGCCGTAAGCAAACACGCTAAAGTGAGATATGGATTTTCATGATTTATACCCCCGCTGCTGCATATATACAGTTTGTCATAGCGTATAATATTATATCGCCATCTCCGCAGCGGGACCCCGGTAACCGCAACGTTTCTAGGGACACTTGGTCAACATTTGTCTTGGTCCTTTCTCGCTCTATCTTGCTATTAAATTCGTCATTATAAGATGCTACCTGACATACCATGTTAGAGCGTAAAGCCTAGCGCACACATCCGAGCAAAACGGAAAATTGTGTTTTTGAGCGTTTCGCGTTTTGCTCGGCGAGCAAGCGCACACACGCCACCCGACACAGCACACAGCTGAGCAAAACATACGGAAACACTGCGTACAGCGCCGCTGTCACATGACATCAAAAATAGCCATCCAATGGACATCCAATTTTGTGTGTCATGTGATATTTTTAAGGATATTGATTGGAGACCGTCTGTGGTGTTTTGCTGCGTAGCAGAACGATTGACGCACACACCCGAGCAAAACGTACGCTCAGGCGAAAACACGTTCCGCGAATCAAACATTGCTTGTTCAGCGAAACACGCTCAGCTGAGCAATGTTGTTTGTTTCGGGAATCCGCACACAGCCACGAACATCGAGCGAAACACGTTTTGCTCCACGTTTAGGGTGTTTTGCTCTAGTGTGTGCGTTATGCTTTAGGGTGTTTTGCTCTAGTGTGTGCGCTAGGCTTAATGAACGCAGCGATTGCATACCTTTGGATCAAGTGCAGCTCCTGCGGGCCACATGCAAAACATGCGGAGCGATACCGCGGGGCGAGCTTACACGAGGATTTGACATTTAGCCAACATGTTTCTGCAGATGAGAATTCCATTTCAAACCCCCTTTTATTTCCATTTCAAACCCGTACTTTCGTACTTTTGTTTTTTTTTGCTTTCAGATTTCGCAGAAGGACGGTTTCGGTATTAAACGTTAAAAACAGCCTTCACGTTTCTTTAACGCTGGCGATGGCGCACTGCCAATGGGCACGTCATGCAGCGGATGTTAACATTTCACAAATATTTGTGTGTATATGCGTGCGCGTGCTTGGGTGTAGTGTAATATTTTGGTATATACGAATCTCCAATAGCGTCGTGCACAGCGACATTGTACATATAACATCACATATATATAGGTGTAATTAATATCGACCGCCTTCCCCCATGCAGTCGCAATCGTATTATTTGGCCGGAAATTTTACTCGGCTCTTGACAGGTCCCTAGTGCTAAATTATCACCAGTGTACTGGTTTATGCGTCACACGCCGTGTATCTAATAGCTATGCCTTGTTTATGTTGCCACATCGTGCTATTAAATATACACGAACCACTCTGCGCTATATGCGAACGCGCGCGCAGGCGACACGCGAATAGAATAAAGCATAACAATAATAATAATAATCATAATCATAATCATAATCATAATCATAATCATAATAACAAGAATAGTGCACTCGCACAAAAATGTATTCCTAATAACAACTTCAAGTCTTACCAACAAGGACGACCTTGGCTTCAGGCGACTTTTAAAGATAGTTTCCGTAGTCAGATCGACGGGATCTAGCTTCGCCCACACCTCGCCGAGAATCTCGGGCTTCGTGAACTGGCTCTCCTTGTTGATCACCTTCAGCTTCAGCTGCAGCTGCGGCAGCATCTCTATCGTCAGGTTGGCGAAGTGAAACTCCTCGTCGAAGTTTGGCACCTGCGTGTTCTTGATCGTGCGCGTCGTCGTCTTCTGCAGCTTGCCTGGCATGAGGCAGAGGCGCACGCAGCTGCTGACGGCGTGCACTCGATGCTGGCCGCCGACGTCGACCCCGTTCAAAACAAGCACCTTCAGCTGCTCGCTGCCTGGCAGGTACTGCAGCGAGTACTTGATGACGCCGTTGTACGAGTTAGCAATCGTCAGCTTCGCCGCCAACGGCTCGTCGATCTCCGACAGACGAGAGTCCTGCGACTGGCTCTTGTAGAGCGGCATGCCGTGAAATGGGAAGCCGACGTCGGCGGCGTTGAAGCCGTTGTGGTCAATCGAGTCGCTCTTCTCGATCTTCACCTGCGGACAGGAGGAGCCGGCGAGGTAGAGCCGTTCGTCGGTGCTCGTCAGCGACGACTGCCGACGCCGCAGCGAGCTATTCTCTCGCCTGTCGCTCCTCTGTCGGCCGCCGGGCGACGACGGACACTTCTTGGCGAGTTTGCTCGCCAGCTGGCGCTGCAGGTCGACGTCCTTTTCGAGCGCCGACCGCAGGCAGACGTTGCGCAGCGGCTCCGAGATGCTGAAGCTGGCCGACTTGTTGCGCTGGGGGTCCTGCGCGCCGACCTCGTCTGGCTTCAGCGAGCTCGCCCGCCGCGTCGCCATCAGCTTCAGCTGCGACTCGGATCCGGATCGCTGTCGGACGCACTGGTCGGCGCCGATCGACAGCAGGCGGCCGCTGCGGTTCGTCGCTTGCTCGGCGTCGGGCGACAGACTGGCCTGCGACGCGCCGCCTCGCAGCGGCGACGCGCTCTTGCGTCGTATGCGCTGCGTGACGTAGACGAGCGCGCGCAGGCACTCGGCCGAGCTGAACTCTCGCTTCGGTTCGTTGCGGTACTTGATAACGGGACTGCACGGACACGAGCGCGGCTCCTCGTTGACGGGCTGCGCGCGATCCTCGGGCAGCTCGAGCGTCAGGTTGGTCGGATTGTGTCGCAACGAGCCGACGCTGCTGCAAACGCTCAGCTGCTCGTCGCTCTCCTGGCCGCCGACCTCGCTGAGCATGCTCTCGTTGCTGCCGGCGTCGCAGCGGTTCGGGATGACGAACTGCGGGATCGTGTTCGGCGTGATGACGTTGCTCGTCGCCGTGTTTATCATGTCGCTGGCGCCCTGAAACAGCGCCGTCTTGCGGGTGGACAGCCAGCTCTTCATCGTGGATGCGTCGGCTGCAACGAAAAGAGCGCGCGTGTAGAGCGACGTATTATTAAGAGCCAATAATACATTATTATTCGTTCTTGGTAGTATATATGTGCTATGCGCGCGCCGTAGCGAGAGAGGAAACGCGTAGAACCTCGTGGAATAGTGGCAAACAAAACTTATTACGTGAAGAACCACAGGAGTAGAATTGTTACAAACCAAACGGTTGTGAGTGTAACTCTGTATAGACTGTTGACAAACAAGACCTTTATGTGAAGAACCCCGCATAAAACATTTACAAAGAAATCACTCATGTGAGAAAACCGTATAGAATAGTTGGAAACAAAACATTTAGGTAAGAAACCCTACGGCAATGGTAGCGATGACTGAGACTTCTGGGAAAGTGCGAGCCAGGTTTATTTTTATAAACCAATTAAATTGCCGCCCGTGCGCCAAATGCTGCCATCTATAATATCCCGCATTTAGCAATCGCTTAAAGAAGGATTACGACAACATTATACATAAATACGCTATGGAACACAATTTAAACCTTATGCCTCTTGCTGCAGGGGCTCTCTGGGGTTTCGACAAGCATTCGTCGAATTATCACTACGTACGTAATCACACTCCGAGCAATCAGGAAAGCGTCGCATAGTATTCGTACATGCCGTAAGATGGCGGCCAAAAAGGCGAACTGTGCGTGAATTAAAGCGACTTACGCCGATTGATCGTGCGCGCCGTCTGCGTCCGCGGGCGACACAAGAGTTAGGTTATCGCTGAACACAGCTGTTAACTGCCGCTGCTATATATATATCACGGGCTTTTAATTAAGCATCGTCGAACTCTGTGCGCGCGAGGCAGCGCCGTCTCAAGACCAATTCTTTCGCGTATATTAGTTCTAGCTTCCGTCGATTGGGTTCCGTAGTTGCGTGTCGACTGGCATTTGTAGGCGACGCCGGCGTCTCTGTGACCATTCGCTTACGTGTCTGTCAACTAACGAGGCGGAAAACGATACGCGGCGAGTGCCTTTGTAAAATTAGACTTGGGGCGAAATCCGGTCAATGGAAACCACGCGTGCCCAGTAATGTACTTGCTACGGTTTGTAAATATGTCATTTTTTTCCAGTGTTAGAGTTTAAACCGTAATTCAATGCATGACCAACCAGAAGCTAACGCGTGTAATTGTGCGCGATTCAATAGCGCTTTATATCATTATTCTCGAAGATGGGGGTCGAGATCTCTCACATGATCACGCGTGGAAGATAACAGTAACGGCATAAAGCCTACATGCAGAGCTGTGACAACTTTACTCGCGTTATTTCTTTTAATTGCTGCTCTCACTAACAGTCGATGATATTGCGCAAGGCCTAATGCATTTCGCAGCAGCGTATAAGTGCTCCACATATGCTCAGTAACTGACGAGTGACGCTGCTGTTCGTGAGAGCTATCGGAAGCCATGGCAACACTTAACGAGCCACAGATAGTTTTAATGTGACATTAGTCAACACGTGTGTGTCCCAAAAGCCTTTTAGTGTGTGGGCAGGCCTATCTACGGCTCATCGCAGTAGTGTCAGGTCAAACCTGAGCATCTATACACGTATCCATAGAGTAACTGGGATGTCGGTACATATACCTCCGTCGTTATAATAATGCCTAACATGGTTTAAAAAAACAAAACTACTTAGCTGTATCTAGCGGTTGGTGTTACCCTGCCATCGCCTCGACTGCAGGAATAAAGACCACTGACAAATGAGATCGAATGCTGTTCCACTAAGCGAGGAGGGAGTTTCAGGAGTAATAAATGTCGTTGCACTTGGTTTCGTGTCGTCGGGATAAATGAGATTGTAGTATAATAAGAAAGGCGAGGTGTTCGGAGTCCGGAAATAGTTCCTCACGTATAATATATAGAGGAGTGACGCACTGGCGGATGTTGGATGTATATCTCGGTGAAAAATTATCCTTGTCGCATTCCGCGACTCCGTCGCGTTTTGTTATTACCACACCGCATAAGCTGCACACATGCAACGCATAAGCTGATTTGACACTTTCCCCTGCCCGACCGAACGACGCGACCTACGTGCTTTGCTGCAGGTGACATCTGCGCATATAGAGACATATAGAGTGACAACGTGCAGCAGTATCCGCTGATAACAACAAGTCGTGGTACACTACACAGCTGCGCGGCGCAGAGTCGTGAGTGTTTGTGATCTGTCGAGGCGCTCTCTGTGTTCGCACACGCCGCTCTGACGCAATTCATTAGCAGTCGGCTAGAGCCTGCACTCCTTCCGTTTCATGAGTACTTATAACACTTCAGCGGTCAATAGGGGGCGACTATATATAAAGGAAGCCAGCCTTCCTGTGTGTTTTGATTACTTCATTCACCTCGCGGCAGCTATTGTTGCTGCTGTCAATTTCGAATTCTTCTATACTTCTAAATTCACTCCCATTCAGATGGTTTCTAATGGCATCTTCTCTCTTCTTGGTCCATCACAAATACTATACAAAAGATACAAAGTAGCCACAAAGTAAAGTTACTGATGATGCGTTATACTTAAATCATTGTATTGTATACATACGTTGGTAAATTACAAGGCGTTATCTATGATGGTAAGAAAATACATAAAACTTTCTTTAAATAATCCTTTAAAATTTAGATTCTACCAAGCCTTTGCCACGTACTATTATATTATACGTATATTATACTATTAACAAATTTACTACTACCCGCGCCCGCGCCCACAAGACGTATAATACGGCATATATAACGATAACGCCATACTGCAGGCATTCGAATTAGTAGCCGCTCGTTTCCTAGTCTGCGCCGCCAAATGTCATGCGGTGTATGAAAGACAACGGGAAGATTGGAAGCCATAGTGTCTTGGGACGCTAGATGAATTGCAGTATACTATTCCTCCGCGGAAGCGTGCGCTGAGCAATATGACTGATGATTTCACGTAATGGCGGTAACGAAAATTTGAGCAACAATCGAACTTGGGAAATTGCTCAGTGTCTTCTTTGACTAATGAAAGAAACGAGAGATTTATGTATCTGTGCGCACATGCTAGTGCGCATGTATGGAGCGTGTACGCGGTTGCGGTTACGTGTGCGCGCGTGCATGCGTGCGTGCGTGCGTGCTTGGGGTGCGCGCCCGTGTCCGCGTGTGCGTACGTCCGTGCGTGTGCGCCTCTGCGCCTACATGCATGCACATGTGTGCGCGGTATCGTGCGCATTACATAATGAAATCGCAGCAGTTCTGTACAACGGCTCTTGGCAGTTCAATCCAATTCACTTTCCCATCTCATGTACGAGCTGCATTGGCTTTTAATTCCCGTGTCGGCCTATACAAAGCCAGCCAGCACTCATTTCCGCACTCATCCCGGCGTGTGGCATCTTCGATGCGCGAGTTTGCTAGTTGTATTGTGTTCTTGCGTGCGAGTTAGAAAAAATCTGATCTAGCGCATAAAAGGTGTAATGCACACGAGACACTGCGACCGTCAATGAGATCTAGCAATCAATCGGGTCTCGAATGCGTAGCAGCGTTCTAAATTATCGGTTGAATACAAAATCAATCTCCGAATGACACACGAGCTACTTGCCGCCCTAATCAGATTGAATGGCGAATTAAATCGCTAATGCATAGATGTAGAACACACTAGACTGGCGTAATAGAGTGTTTTGTCCGCTGTATTTCTGTCGATCATGTTTAAAAATGTTAATTTAAAAAATAGTACGATTAAACATAAATTAAAAGAATATTTAATATAAAGACAACTACCCGCTTGGCGCTTTAAGATTACAATGGCAACTATTTCAACACTAATCGACAGACCTCTCATGCATGCAACGAATGTATTTAATCTCGTGCAGGCCTGGACAGCGCACAATGGGAAATATACTAACTGCAATTCTATCGGGAGACAGCAGGATACATCGCTCTTCTCAAAACTGTACCCGAGTCCCTTCTCTAAAATATTCCAGGGATTTGACAGCCACGTGTCAAATTTGTCCGGTTTGTTTGGTCTGCAAATAGTTATTAGCGGCGCAGGCTTCCCCACCCTACCGGAATAAATAAGCTACTCGGTCGCCGATGCGTTGTCCGCGACTCCGCGTACATCACAGACTTGCAATTTAATAAGATCACGAAATAGGATCACGACTCGCAGTTGGCTCTCGCGGTGTCATGGCTGCCAGCTGCCTGTGATCACGCGTGCGTTAACCGACGGCAAAAAGGGTGTGGGATGACGGGGCATCAGATGTGAATCACAACCATGACTATGCGATTCACTTACGAACATTTATCCATAAACATAGCGTGTCACTTTCACTGATAAACGATATGACACCACATCCGCGCGTTATATGCGGTATTTCATATTTACATTACCTACGATATTTAATGACGACGGTTTATTACGAGCTACCATTATTATTAACGCTTGCACGCATACTGGCTACGACTGTTTTGAGAATTCTCGTGTACGTTCCGTAGTGCGTCGCTGAGAATCTATTTAAAATGAGGTCGGTGTTAAATATGTCGAGGGACTGTCCCTGATAACCGACACGACCATTGCTGCTGGCTTCAATGCCTATATTCCGCTTTGTGGCAGCAATCTCTCTCTCTCTCTCTCTCTCTCTCTCTCTCTCTCTCTCTCTCTCTCTCGCGCCGAGTTTGTAGCTGTATGTGTTCTTGCGTGCGAGTTAGAAACACATCTTGATCTAGCGCCATAAAAGCTGTCATGAACGACGAGACACTGCGACCGTCAATGAGATCTAAGCATCAATCGGGCGGCTCGAATGCTAGCCAGCGTTCTAAATTATCGGTGATACAAAATCAATCTCCGAATGACACACCGAGCTACTTGCGCCATAATCGTATGTGAATGGCGAATTAAAATCGCTAATGCCCATAGAGGTGAACCACACTAGACTGGCGTAAGAGAGTGGTTTGTCGCTGTATGTCTGTCGATTATGTTTAAAAATAAAGTTAATTTAAAAAAAATAGTACATTAAACATAA